AGTAGGAGGAGCAGCAGCAGCAGCAATAGAGAAGTAGGGTAGGAGGAGGAGGAGGAGGAGTAGTAGTAGTAGCAGCAGCAGCAGCAGCAGTAATAGCGGTAGCAGTGGTGGTGGTGGTGGTGGTGGTGGTGGTGGGGGTGGGAGGAGTAGTAGTAGGAGTAGTAGCGGAAGAAGAAGTAGAAGAAGAAGTAGTAGTAGTAGTAGTAGTAGGAGTAGTAGGAGTAGTAGGAGTAGTAGGAGTAGGAGTCGGAGTAGGAGTAGTAGGAGCAGTAGGAGTTGGAGTTGGAGTTGGAGGAGTGTAGTAGTCGTCGTCGTCGTACTAGCAGTAGTAGTGTAGCAACACAAATAGTAGTAGTAGCTTCGTCGAGGTTGTAGTGGTACTCGTCGTCGTCGTCCTGGTCTTCGTCGTCGTCGTCGTCCTGGTCTTCGTCATCGTCGTCGTCGTCCTGGTCGTCGCCGTAGGTGTAGTAGTAATTAGTCGTCGTCGGCGGCGTCGTAGTAATAGTAGTGGTGATAGTAGTAGCGGTAGTAGCAGCAGCAGCAGCAGCAGCCGCCGCCGCAGCAGCAGCAGCAGTAGCAGCAGCAGGAGCAGCAGCAGCAACAAGAGGCAGCAGTAGCAGTGACAAGAACAAAAACCACTAAAAACGACAATGATGGTAGGCGTGGGACCGTGGGGCGCAGCCCACGATTTTGCTGCAAACATTTTAATCTCGAGAATATCTCTGTGTGCTCTCAGGCTTCAGATTCATATTGCATGTCAATGTGAGCGTGTGGTGCTCAAGTCAACGGATTCTCGCTTCACATATGCATGCATGCAATAGATGCCGAGATATAAGGAGATCGAGCATTGTGTCACAGAAACCCCGGTCTCAGAAGTTGCTTTGCAATTGTCGGTCTTGTGCTCTTTTGTTGAGCGAGTGCTCTACGGTTGCCGTTGCATCGCGTTGTACTCTGCTCTATAGGCTCAAAGTCGAAGTAGGTGGAGCCTTGCCGTGTCGAGCCACGCCTTGCCAACAATGTGCTGAGCACTGCCACATATATACTTGTATATATGTAGACCACGGTTTATGTCAGACAGTCTCAGGCACTAGAAGTATGCCGAGATACTATGGCGGGCTTTCTTTACAGGCGAGGATCGACTCTGGCCTTTGGCGCCAAGCAGACTCTGCACCAACATTTCTGTGTCCACATCACATCGTCCCCGCACCCCGTATAGTTTCGGCTGATGGGAGTTAGGGGTTTTGCATGGCCCACCTACCTGGAGTCAATAGCCATCGCGTTGCGTTCTCCAAAGTTGCGGCTGGATTGATTGAATCTCATCAGCAGTCCTCCACATCCTGCGGGTTGCAGCCGTCGTTGATAAGGCGTTGTTGGATTTCGGGTACACCTCAGCCGTCATTCGGGGCTCCCGTGGCCTGAAGTTTCGCGCTGTTGACGCATGCAGGGGGTGGAGTTCATGTGCACTTATGAGCTAGTTGCAAATACCATTGGCCCAGAATCGCCTAGGTAACTCCGTAACCATGCGCGAGACTCGTGCCGAAGCATCAGGCACCGACTGGCTCCGATTCGGGAACCGCCACAAGTGCCATGGCACCCCCAATGCTGAGCCAGGCACAGCAACTGTCCCAATTGAAGTCATTGTCCCAACAGGACCTCCAGTTTGGATTCACGGTTTGCACAAGGCCTTCGACAGTCCGTTTTGGCCTATACAGAAGGCCCGAAACCCTATCTGTGCATCAGCATCCCGGGGGCTGAACGGTTGAGGGGTTCGGGGATTCTCCCGGTATTCTCCCTTTTCATGGTGGTGTCAGAAAAGCACGGGTGGTACCACAGCCTCAGTTCTATCACGATATGACATGATATGGCATTGTGAAACCTAGCAGTGCGGGTTGGGAAAGTTCTTGCCACTTGCGCGCTGGTCCTGAACCGCCTAGAGCCTAGAGCATTACGGGAACCTTGTACGAACTCTGTATAGTAACCTAAGCCCCAGAGCCTCAACCCTACACTCCCTGCACCCTAACAAGGTGCACCCCGAGGTGCGCCAAGCCGACGCCCCAGGTTCCGGAGCAACAAAGCTCGAAGGAGAAGCTGCCAACCCAACAGCTGACCATTGCTCCATAAGAGCTCTGTAAAGGTTCTATTCTAAGGTCTCTATAAAGTTTCTGTAGGGCTTCTACAAGGGGGTCTCTATGAGGCTTCTTAAGGGTTCCATTGGGTCCAAGAATGTTGACGGAAGTTTGGCGGGTGGAGGGGGTTCGACAACGGCAAAGTTTGCGGGGCTTTGGGACTAGTTATGGTGTAGTCCAGGGGAGAATGGGTGTTTTGGACTTGTTTTCGAAGATCTCCCTGTGACGTCGGTGTGTGAAAGTCTCACGATCATCGGGTTTGGAAGGGGGGGATCCGAGCCTCGAGGGCGGCCAAGCGGAGCTGTACTTTGTACTTACCTGCTACCTACCTACCTGATCCTACCGAATCCTACCTACGTACTTGCCTGCTACCTACTGTACCTACCTACCTACCTACCATTAGACTATACCTACCGACCTGCCCGCCTGCCATCCACTTGCTAATCCATCTGTCTATGTCCTGCCCGGCCATTGCCAATTGCGTGGAACTTGACTTCTGTACCCTAAGGATGCTCGCAGCACCTGTGATGCCGCAGGTTCTCATAAAGCGGAGACAACCCAAGCTCGCAAGCATTCAATAATTGGACTAGGTTTCTAGGGTATATTGCAATATAGTTTTGATAAGGAACGGATCTCAACCCCACGTCCCAAACCTCTTCAAGGCCTTGAGGTTGGGGTTTAGGGCACTCAGTCTACTGTTTCCGGCGGCATCAGGTATTTTCGAAAATCGCGTAAAGGGTCAGCGAGATGCTCTGGAACACAGCTCCGTTTATCCATTGATGTGGATTTGCGCACACAGTTTAACATTTGACAAGCATAAGAATAAACTCATAATCATGCGTATGTTTATGTTTGTATATATATATACATGGATAGCCATTACAGCGTCCCTTTCTGAATTTACATACAGATAGATGGATGGATAGATAGTTAGATGGATAGACAGATAGACAGATAGACAGACAGACAGACAGGTAGGTAGGTAGATAGATAGATAGATAAACGATACATAGATAGATAGATAGATAGATAGACAGATAGGTAGATAGGTGGATAGGTAGATAGGTAGACAGGTAGATAGGTAAATAGATAGGTAGGAAGGTAGACAGATAGGTAGGTGGACAGATAGATAGACAGATTGTTAGATAGTTAGATAGATAGATCGATCGATAGATAGATAGACAGATAGATAGGTAGACCGGTTTGACATTATATAGACGCACTGTACATCTGTTCATACTCACTTGTACACTCTGTTTAAATCTATCTGAATGCATGTTTTACCTGTGGGAGCGCTCATAAACACCAAGCCCTGGAAGCGATTCTCGCCGAGCCCAAAGACTTCCAGCATGAACCGTGTTGTATAGATCCCTCCCGTCTCCCACGAACCTGAACCCCCAAATCGCAACACCCTGAAACGTACACCTCAACAGCCGAAACCCTGAGAGTCTGAACTACAATTCCATTCTCCCCACTCCCCTCCACGACCCGCTGGCACGCACCTGCGTGATGTTCTGCAGGAGCACTTGCCCCGACCATTTCTCGCTGTTAGGGTGGCGGCACCTGGCAACTTTTGCGAAGTTCAGACAAGTGACCCCTAATTCTCAGAACCCGCCTCCTCTTTGACGTGAAAGGCTGGGTGGGTAGACGGGTTCAGGTTGCAGTCGGGCTTTAGGTTTTCCGGTTTCTTATGGTTTCGGGGCTTTAGGGTTTGAGGCTTGGGATGTTGGGGTTTTGGGGTATGGGCATTAAGGTTGGGACCAGCAGAAGCTTTCGATATGTCTTGAAACACACAAGCACGTCGTTAGGCTCTCTCTCGAGCGCTGTTATCCCTGTCCTTCCAGCACTGCCGGAAATTGCAACCTTCACCACTATATACAAAGCTTTAAGCGTGTGTGTGTGTGTGGAGAGAGAGAGAGAGAGAGAGAAAGAGAGAGAGAGAAAAAGAGAGAAAAAGAGAGAGAGAGAGAGAGAGAGAAAGAGAGAGAAAGAGAGAGAGGAGGAGAGTGCGAGAGAGAGAGAGAGAGAGAGAAAGAGAAAGAGCAAGAGAGAGAAAGAGAGAGAGACAGAGAGAAGGAGAGAGAGACATAGAGATGCTTGATTTTGTCGGCAGATGGCCCCGGAATAGAGACCTTGGAATTTCTCGCTGTCCGTCTGCTCGTGAAGCTTCACGGTCGGCGGTCACTGCCCCGCCATTGCCTGGGTGGCCAAACTCGCCTTCAAAGCGGAGGCCCCAGGGCCGGAAAGGGGTTCCAGCGCCCGCTGCAGGGACTTCGGGTCGCCGCAGCTGCGCAGCGTCGCTTCTTGTCCGAAGTGGGACATCAGCGCTTGGAGGTAAGCCGCAGCTACATCGCTCCGGTGAAGGACCAGCATCTTCCGAAGGTCCTCGCACAGCTCCTTTTGCAAAGCCGGCCAGGCATCGTGTCGGGACCCTGCCAGATCCAAGCATCGCAGGACCTGCTCCAATGCTCTGCGCTGGCCGTTGCCGTGCAACGCGTCGCAAAAGTCCTTGAGGGCACCGGGTTCCAGTACAGGCGCCAAGAGCTCCTCGGGGCAAAGTGAACATGAGAAGCTTGCGTGGCATGGCCGATTACAGTTTCGCTGAAAGCAGCTTTCTATGCTGTGTTCTTTCGGCCAGTCTTCACTACGGATTGCAATTACAATGCGCTGCTTGCTCAACATGCCCAGTCTCCTGACAGCCGTCGCCATCAAACGCCAAGAGACGGGCAAGCGCAGCGGTTGCAGCTTCTGGAGCTGCATCCTCTTCCGTGTCTGCGTCACTGTCAGACATCTCCTCCGTCCCGGCCTTTGACAAACGAGCTGCGCATCGGAGAAGTGCCGTGGCGGCATCTGCCTGTAGTAGCTCGGTGCGGATGGCAGAGTCCCCTGCCAAGGCGAGTTGCACGACGGCCGTGGCAGCTGCGGCAGCGGCCGGACCTTCTGAAGCTGCCAACAGACCGACAATTGCCTTGATTGCACCGGATGAAATCAGCTGGCCCCTCAGCTTCGAAAACTCCTCGGCACGTCGGGCATCGCCCAGGCTGATGGCCTCCAGCGAGTCTGCAGCCAGAAGGCCACAGAGCCTCACCATCAGCGCCTTGACAGTGGCCGGGTGACGCGGCGAGAGCAGTGTGGCGGTAATCACGCCCAGGACACCTGACCCTGCAATGCGCCCCTTCAAAGATGGCCACTGCGCCGCAGCGCACAACGTCTCGAAGACCGCTTCCTTGAAGGGTGTCATGTCCATCGCCAATGCCTGGGCCAAGGCCACCATCAAGCCACCGTTGCCCTTCATAGACTGGCCCATTGCCACAGAAATGAAGGCATCCAGGCCGTCGCTCTCTGCAAAGGCTTCTGCACCGCGCAGGGTCTCGCAGAGCCGTGCACAGTAGCCGGCAGCAGCTGCATCCTCCTCCTGCACTGCTAGCAGCCACCTGTCGCTCAGCTCCTCAGCTGAAGGCCTTACTTGCAGAGTTTTGCCATGGAAATCAAAATGCAAGTCTATGCTGAATGTAAGACTCAAGAATCTACGAATCTACAAACCCAAGAGGAGGGTAATGATTACCTTGCTCCGCTATCAAGCGGCAGCCCGGAAGGCGCGGATCGGACTCCACGGACAGCACGACCAGTCTGGTCGGAGGACCCTGTTGGCTGGCGGCGCCCACACGCTGCCCTCATCCAACTTTGCGCGGCACCCATATGCCGAATTACAAACAGGCTGGCATGTATCCGCTCCTCGACCTGGTTTATGTTGCATTCTGTGGCTCTAGAGTTTGGATCCGTGCATCCGTGAAGAGTCGAACTGACTGGTTCCTGCGGCTGAAAACTGCCGTGGCAGCTGCAGCCTCGTGAGTTTGTTTGCCAGTTCGCCCACGAGTTCATAATACTTACAGCTGCAACCACAAATCCCTTGGTAGTTTTGGGCCCTTGTGGTTTTGTCGGTACCCGGCATGTCCGTGTCATCTCCAGGAGAGGTTTAAGTTGAGGGGGGTTCAGGCTGCCCATAGTGTTCTGGGCCAAACTGATTTTTAGAACACTGTTGCTCAAGTCTCTTGCGCTTGAGCTATCGTGCAGCATGAGAATCTGCAGGAAAGCTTGTCGCCTAAAGGCCCAAACCCCCCAGCGCAGAGAACCCTAGCCTGCATCAGCCTTGCTGGAATCCGAATCCTCCTCGGCAAACTCCGGACCCCTGGAGCAAATCAAACCGGAGTGCCGCACCAGCCGATGCAGCGGTCATTCAGCCGCCCAGCCTTCCATCTTGGTCATACCCGTTGTAATGGCTAATGTCATAAAGACGCATGCGGATGTATGTATGCATGTAGGACTGCACACCTATGTACACAAAGGTCTCTCTCTCTCTCCCTCTATTCTATATATATATACACACACATACATACATATATTTTTACATACATAACTAAATGTAAAAGCTGAGTTCATAAGCACAAGAAGTGTACAATTTCAGTTCTACATGGAGTCACATTTTCCCAAAAAGTTTAGAGTGTAGTCATTCAGCTACTAAGATATAAGAAGAATCATGAGGAACAGGGTGAGCACGTGCCCTACTTGCTGTTAGTACTTTTCATTGTAGTTTTGCGGGTTCTGGTGGGTTCTCTGGCATGGATCCACGCATCCGACCGTTCTATTTCGCTCTGCATGCGCTTGCAGGGAATGGAGATCACGGAGGGCACTATGCAAGCCTGGCGCAAAAGACTTCGCACAACGATCTGTATTGCATATCTCTGGGTATTAAATGAATTCAGTGGTGTACCGGTGCCAGCGATCTCGAGTCTACACTCGTAGTTACATCACGAGCTTGAGGCCGCCACAGCTTGGAGACAGTGCCGTCCGTCATGGCACTGAAACTTTTTAGACCGAAACTCTCTAGATGATGGATGGTGTGTAATTTGGGCCCGGGGCCGACAAACCGATCCCAGCTACTCTCACCAGATGTCAGTAGAATGGCTTTCCACGAAGGCCGTCACTAGACACAACAAGCTTAGCGAGAGTTTGGTAGCCATATCAACATCATGCCCGCCCGCGATCTCTGCTTCGCAGGAGCTGGGCGGCATGTTCCAAGTAGGATTGAAAATTCATGTGGGGTATCTCATAGGCTTGCACTGTCGTTTCTGGTGCTTGGGTTTGCAATTTCCGCCCGGAAGTACATTCGTTGCAGACCGCCGGCTGCAAATTCGAAAAGCTCTGACCTAGGAGAAGCCCCACAAACCTAGCACGTCTAAGCCTAGAGTCTAGGCACACCATTAACGCAAGGGCTCCACCTGCTTCCGGCGAGGTGCCGAAAGCAAGACCGCCCGGTCATCGTGAGCAATGTTTCGACATAAAATGGACAAGCCCTTGTTTCCGTTTGCTTTCTGACGAGGTCCTTGAGGGCTGGGATTGCCGAAGTAGTGATGGACCAGACAAGTTAGATGCTTGTTTTTGCTGTTAGTAGAGAGGCACTTCTGGCTCTCTGCCTAAGGAGGTTATAATTTAGGTTTTCAAGGTCTATAGTCTATAGAGGTCTGTCACCCTACACGACTCATCTCCTGGCTTGCCTGCACTGCCCCCTCAACGCGTCTCCCGAGATCACTCGATGTTGTACACGCGGCGGTACCAGATTATGTACTCTGCGTACACCTGGTTCTCGTCCTCAGGATGTTTTCGCGAAAGCAACCCTTTGTGCCTCAGCTTTGGTCTAGGGTTTGGGAGGTATCAGTGGAACGCACCAGGCTGCAATCCAAAAATGCAACCCCACAATACCAGCAGCACATCCTATTCCCAATTCAAAAAGCATCACAAATCCCAGCAAAGGCGAAGGGACAGAAGCGCGAAACTTGTAGCTTTCAATGCGTCTGAGGCACGTAAACGATGTACTCCTTGCAAACAGAGGGGGCCTAAACCCTCACCCTTCAGTCAGGCAGTCGTAATCATCGTACTGGTATACTAGTACCAATACTAGTAATCATGGGTTCGTAGATAGTCGCGCGGCTTGTCTGTTGTCTTTGTAGTTCTGCTTTTTGTTGTCTCTCGTTACTTCCTAATATGATCATCAGCAAGAGTCTTCCTTACCCTAGAATGTGGCCAGACGAAGGATTTCGGGGCTCTGGCGGGGAGACCTCTGGCTGCAAGCTGCATAGAATGTTGGGAGCTTTCAGAAGTACTTGGCTAACCAGGCAACTTGGTATCAGATCAAAGGACTGCAGTTTGCGAGTCCTACAATGCAAAGACTAGCAGCCCGCAGGTGAGTTTCCAAGAGCTCCTCCGCTCCGAAGACAGTTTCTTCGTGTTGCCAGACGGTCACAGGAACTACGATGGAGTTTTCAACATGGCGACCCAGACTGTCGGGCGGAGGACTATGCAGACAACGTCTTGCCAAACCCCAAAGACGACCCACAAATACCCATGAACCTTGGGCCAAGGACGGGGCATTGTATGCACGAAGCCCCTTGACGGAGTGGAAGCCACCAGCATGGCAGGCCTGTTTGATGTTTACGTGTTCGGGCTTAGGGTTTCCGGCCCCCAGTCGACCCAGGCGACAGTAAGTCAACCTTGGCTGCCTACACATGTGTTCCGAACTTGCGCATTCCGAGTGACTATGCTGTGAAGACCATCGGCTCAACGGCTTGAGAAACAGTTTAACGTGGAGCATAATAATTATGGTCCAAACACCCCTGTGGTGGCAGCATTGACATGGCTCACCAGGCTCGAGTACTTATTATGTTGCTGCAGCTCGCAAGGGTGTCATGCAAAAGCCGCTGAACACAACCAGCTGCGTCCCAACTGAATCAATCAATCAAGGTGCAGTGGCAGTGCTGTTGCTGCTGCAGGTGGTCGTTTAAGTGGTGGTGCCTAATTCGTACAAACAATCATAATCTTATTAGCACAACAGTGGGTCAAAAGCCCTCAACCTCAAGCAACCAGCGTCAAACTCAGCTCCCGAAGGCTTGGAATGGGGCGCAGGGCAGGCAGACCGGCGGACCCAAGAATCCCGAAAAGGGATTGGAAGGCGGTGTTGGCCTTTCACCTTTACACCTCCCCCAATCGCCTCGCGGAGCTCGGCTTATGGAACCCGCAAATTTCCTTCTTTTGTATCTATGCCTAGCGGCTAGCTTTAGGGTTCGCTGGGATTCGAAGGTGGCCTAAGGGCTTCCCACTCGGACTTCTGCTTGGGCCCTCCACGCACCAACGAGAGTTTAGCCAGCCCCCCAGTGCGAACCTAAATACAGCTCCTCAGTAAGTTCTTAAGACACCTTCATCCGGCCCCTAACTCCAACCACTGAAGCCCAAACCCTGACCTCCCTCTCCGCCTTCATGCACTCACGCCCGCCCTCAAACTGCTTGATTGCTCGGCCCATAGTGCAGCGACAAAGGATCCTTAAACTCGTTCGGGTTTCGTCGCTGACTTTGGAGTGAGGCAGGTGGGAATGCACACACAAGCACTACCGTTGTGGCAAAGTGTCATTGCTAGTCGTTGACAGTTGTATCCTTGCAGCAGCAGCTGCTGCTGCTGCTGCTGCCGCTTCTGCCTACCTCCTACTGCGCCTACTTCTATCTCGACGTATTTCTACTACAAGTACAACTCCTCATCCTCCCCCGCCTGCCCCTACTCCCACTCCTACTTGTACTGCTGCTACAGGCAAGAATGGTGTCGCAAGCCCCTAAACCCCAACCCCGGCTTGAACTCCTAAGCTCCTAGACCCCAAACCCCGAAAACCTGAACCCTCGGCCCCAAACCCTGAGCATCCCGGAGCCGTCTCTGAAACTTTTCATCGCCCGGCGTCATCGTCCGAAGCCCAGTCGGATCGGGTTCGGTGTACTCCTCAGGGTTAGGGTTTCATTGAACGACAAGGGCTTTGTTAGGGCTTTTGGGGTTTGGGCTTTGGTCCCGTTTTGGGGGCCTTTGGTGTTTAAAGCTCAGTTTGCTTTGGTCTGGGATTTCGGGGTTTAGGCTTTGGGGCGTAGGGCCTTGTTGCTTTGGATTCGGGATCGAGTCTTTCTCTTGTAAATCGAACTGCAAGTCCTGCTTGCTGGATAGTGCACAGGCATCAGCGCCTGACGAACTCCTGGCCTCACGACCTGACCTCGCAGACTCAAAACCTCGCGGCCTCACGACCTCGCAGACCGCTCGCAAAAGACAACGGTGTTTGAGAAACACGGACCACCAGAAAGGGATGAGAGCGTTTGAGAAACAGAAAGCAAACCATCCGAAAGAGATTAAAGTTTTAAGCAACAGGGAGCAAACCGCTCGAAAAGAACTAGAGAAGTTGAGAAACAGGGAGCAAACTAAAGTGTTTGAGAAACAATGAGCAAACCGCTCGAAAAGGCCTATAGCATTTGGGAAACAAGGAGTAAGCTGCTCAAAAGGGACTAGGGTGTTCGAGAGAACAAGGAGCAAACTGCTCGAAAGGGACTAAGAGCATTTGAGAAACAGGGAGCATGGCGCTCGAAAGGACCTAGAGTGTTTGAGCGGTTTGCTCCCTGTTTCTCACGTACTCTAGTCCCTTTCGAGCGCCTACTCCCTGCTTCTCAAATACTCTAGTCCCTTTCGAGCGGTTTGCTCCCTCTTTCCCAATGCTCTACTCCCTTTCGAACTGTTTGCTCCCTGTTTCTCAAACACTCTCGTCCCTGTCGAGCGGTTTTCTCTCTGTTTCTCAAAATCCCTAGTCCTTTTTGAGCGGTTTGCTCCCTGTTACTCAAATACATAGTCCCTTTCGAGCGGTTTGTTTTCAGTTTCTACAAGTCTTGAGTCCCTTTCGAGCGGTTTGCTCCCTGTCTATCAATTACTGCAACCCCTTTCGGGCGGCTGGCTTATTGCTATACTCAATCCCTCGCGCACCTCGCTGCCTCACGGCCTCACCTAGCGGCCTCACGGCCTCACCCACGTCGCGGCCTTGCTCACCCCTCGCGACCTCGCGGCCTCCCTCGTATCCCTCGCGCCCTTCTCGCAAGCGCGAGCGCGTGCGCGCGGTCACCTGGTCGCGTCACCTCGCCGCCTCGCGCAGCTCACCTCGCGGCGTCGCGCCCTGACCTTGCCGCCCTGGCTTATTGTCAGGTCTGTTCTGCAGAGTATAGTTACAGTATAGTGGTCGAGGGTGTATACGGAGGTTCCTGAATAAATATACGATGTTTACAGATATCGCAAGTGGAGTCTTCACGAGTCCGAACCGGTATTTCCCCTAATTCAAAAGATACAGCCCTCATTCCCTCATGTTTTGAATCAGCACACACCCGCAACTTCGGCCTTGCACAATAACAGTGACGTGCTCACTCTCTTGGGAAACCGAACAGGGAACGGAAGTAACATGTAGCTGCAGGAAAGGCGCTAGGCTTTATAGCGTATAGGAATTAAGGCAATCTTAAACTCATCTTGTCGTTTCAATGCCGAACCTCTTCTGCTTGGGGCAAGGCACGTCGCTCTTCGTGACCTTGTGGAAGCAGGTGTAGGGTAGTGCTTCAGAGCCAAGAGCTTGCAACATTCCACAATAAACGCTACTCTAGAGAACCAGCTTCTCTAAGCTGCAGCCTTCTTTTTACCCAGCATAGAGTATCATCTACCGGTGTAAGAACTTTGCAGTAGCCTGTGGCCCGCACCGCATCGGCCATGTAGATCCCAGGGCCAAACATGGTCCCACGGTTTGTGCCCGCCATCTTCAACTGCAGACAGATATCAGGCTAAAGGCGTCAAGGTAGAGGCATCTGTTTGACAAGCTGCCGCGCCAAACATGTGTGGACAGGTTACAGATGGCGGTGGGGTTCAGGATATACCCGTTGCTTCCAGTGGGCTGAATGCAGAAAATCCGAACCGACAAATATGAGGCAGTCGCACTTGCCGTCACTTGCCAAAACCCATCCACAACGAGTCGAAAACAAAAGGGCCTGAACAAGACTCCCAACGGAACCCAACGGCCAACCAGTAAACCTAAACAGACCTTTTCTGAAAGTCACGAAACCCGAATTTCCAAGACCAGTAGACTCAGTAGATTCCAAGAGGTTGCGGTGAACACGAGCCGCAGCTTACGCCTGGAATCCGATACCCGAGCTGTGTGTAGCCTTCGTCGTGAGGCTCTCAACAGTTGGGGATTCATACTAGCGGCCCCCTAAGTTAAGTGCTCTGATACTAACGCTAAGGGTTCTGCATTCAGGGACTCAAATAGGGTCTCCCATGTCCCGAAACTCCCATCGAGAAAACCTTCTAAGCATTCCCTCTTCATTGAGGAACCCCTGGCCAACGTAGCCCCGATGCACTTCCCCCCCCATGGAATAACGGATGCCGCAAGTCTTCAGAAGGCCTGGAATTCGTTCTCCGTGATCGACTCTGCAGCTGACTCACGGGTGCCATGGAAGAGCCAAAGCCTGAGGATTTCGGCAAGAAAAGTGCCCAAGGCTTCGATATAGCAAGGCACCATAGTAGTAGTAGTAGTAGTAG